ATACATTACCTAACACCTAAACCCATACATAACACCATCCACAATCAGCTGAAATATATATACATTACCTAACACCTAAACCCATACATAACACCACCCACAATCAGCTGGCACATACATACATTACCTAACTCCTAAACCCATACATAACACCACCCACAATCAGCTGGCACATACATACATTACCTAACACCTAATCCCATACATAACGCCATCCACAATCAGCTGACACATACGTACATTACCTAACACCTAAACACATACATAACACCATCCACAATAAGCTGAAATATATATACATTACCTAACGCCTAAACCCATACATAACACCATCTACAATCAGCTGACACATACATACATTAATATATACATTACCTAAACCAAAACCAATACATAACACCATCCACAAGCAGCTGACACATACATACATTAGCTAACACCTAAACCCATACATAATACCATCCATAATCAGCTGACGTATAGATACATTACCTATCACGTAAACCCATACATAACACAATCCACAATCAGCTGACACATCATCAACAATCAGCTGACACATATTTACATTACCTAAACCTAAACCCATAAATAACACCATCCACAATCAGCTCCCATACATAACACCATCAACAATCAGCTGACACATATTTACATTACCTAAACCTAAACCCATACACAACACCATCCACAATCAGCTGGCACATACATACATTACCTAACGCCTAAACCCATACATAACACCACCCACAATCAGCTGAAATATATATACATTCCCTAACACCTAAACCCATACAAAACACCATCCACAATCAGCTGAAATATACATACATTACCTAACACCAAAACCCATACATAACACCATCAACAATCAGCTGACACATATTTACATTACCTAAACCTAAACCCATACACAACACCATCCACAATCAGCTGAAATATACATACATTACCTAACACCTAACCCCATACATAACCCCATCCACTATCAGCTGACACATACATACATACCATCCACAATCAGCTGAAATATATATACATTACCTAACCCCTAAACCCATACATAACACCCTCCACAATCAGCTGACACATATATATATTACCTAACACCTAAACCCGTACATAACACCATCCACAATCGGCTGAAATATATATACATTACCTAACCCCTAAACCCATACATAACCCCATCCACAATCAGCTGATATATATATACATTACCTAACACCTAACCCTATACATCACACCATCCACTATCAGCTGACACATACATACATTAGCTAACACCTAAACCCATACATACCCCCATCCACAATCAGCTGACATATATAAATATTACCTAACACCTAAACTCATACATAACACCATCCACAACCAGCTGACACATACATACATTCCCTAACTCCTAAACCCATACATAACACCATCCGCAATCAGCTGAAATATATATACATTCCCTAACACCTAAACCCATACATAAAACCATCCACAATCAGCTGACACATCATCAACAATCAGCTGACACATATATACATTACCAAAACCTAAACCCATACATAACACAATCCACAATCAGCTGACACATCATCAACAATCAGCTGACACATATTTACATTACCTAAACCTAAACCCATACACAACACCATCCACAACTCGCTGACACATACATACATTACTTACACCTAAACCCATTCCTAACACCATCCACAATCAGCTCCCATACATAACACCATCAACAATCACCTGACACATATATACATTACCTACACCTAACCCCATACATAACACCATCCACAATTAGCTGACACATACATACATTACTTAACTCCTAAACCCATATATCAGAATCCCCGTACCACTGCCAAACACTGAAACTATTCATTCAAAACTTATTTTCTGGTATAACTATAGCTTAAATAAATCTTTTCTGAAAAGTATGCCTTGTACGACTTTTATGAATAAATATATAAATATATAAATAAATAAATATGAATAAATAAAAAAAACAAAACAATTAACAATAGTGATCTGCATGTAAAAAGTCAGAGTGGCTAGACCAGGATTCGAACCCTATACCTCAAATTGTTTTATTGTTGTCCTGGACCAAACGTAGTACAGTTATAGCATAAACAAAGTTAAGGGGAGGTAATTGTATATATGAAACATGGGTTCATATACTTTAAAATAACAAGAGGCCCAATGGGCCTGCATCGCTCACCTGGTATAAAACTCACACTTGTAACCTTAAAAGTGATCTAAAATAAAGCTACAAGCAAAATATCAGTATTTATGATTAAAATTCGTTCAAAAGACCCTGTTAATCTTTTTTAAAACATTTCACCCCTGTGATTGAAAGTCGAACAAAGTCATTAAGTTGAACACATTGTATAGCCTTTCATCTCAGGATGCAACTTGCAAAGTATTAACATCCTGGGACCCATGGTTATTCAGAAGAGGTCGTTTAAAGATTTTAAACAAATTTGACCCCTGTGACCTTGAATATAAGTCAAAGTCATTCACTTAAACAAACATAGTAGTCCTTGATCCCAGCATATGCTACTAACTAAATATCAACATCCTGAGCCTTTTGGTTATTCAGAACAAGTTGTTAAAATATTTTAAACATATTTGCTCCTTGTGACCTTGAATATGATTCAAGGTCATACATTTAAACAAACTTGGTAGCCCTTGATCCTAGTATGCTACTGACTAAATATCATCACCCAGGGCATTTTGGTTATTCAGAANGCTACTGGCCAAATATCATTACCCTGGGCATTTTGGTTATTGAGAAGAAGTTGTTAAAAGTTTTTAACATATTTGACCCCTGTGACCTTGAATATGGGAGAAGGTCATTCATTTGAACAACTTTGTAGCCCTTCATCTTAGCATGCTACTGGCCCAATATCATCACCCTGTGCATTTTGGTTATTGAGAAGAAGTTGTTAAAAGATTTTAACATATTTGACCCCTGTGACCTTGAATATGGGTGAAGGTCATTCATTTGAACAAACTTTGTAGCCCTTCATCTCAGCATGCTACTTGCCAAATATCATCACCCTGAGCATTTCGGTTATTAAGAAGAAGTTGTTTAAAGTAAAATATTGACGCCGGACGGACGACGGACGCCGCACCACGGCATAAGCTCACTTGGCACTTCGTGCCAGGTGAGCTAAAAATGGTTTGTTTTGTTTTATGTCCTAATAGTCTTTGATCTGTTATTTAGCACAACGTTTATTAACCTTTGATAAATATTTTTCATGTCCCAGAAAGGTAATTATTTTAATAGAACAAAGTGTATTAACCTTCGATCTGGTAAAGAATTGTTATATAGAAACTCTATACCAATCCTTTTTCCTACTCCAATTCCGAAACCATTTTTAAATGGTGTCATCAGTTAATCGTAGCTATCCCAGGAAGATAGCATCAGACTCTGGCAACAATAAAACACTATGATTTCACATTCAGTACTATAAAACTACTAAACTAATATAAAACTACTAAACTAGTAGACTCATTTTATAAATCTTCTGATATTACTTTCTTCGTATTAACACTGTTAATAAAAATATAATAATGTCAATATTCTATACCAATATTTTTTTCCAATTCCTAAACCATTTTTAAATGGTGTCATCAGTCAATCATTCATCTATTTTCCGAGTCAGAGATACTTTACCCATAAGATCCACGAGAACAGAATTTCCCAGCAGGACAGAAAAGCCGAGTAGGACCCACGGTAGGTATGGGGCGTGGAAGGTCATGAGGCCGAAGAAGTTCATCCTTATGTACGGGTTCCTTCTACTCCACACGTAGACCAGCATGATGGTGAAGGCACTGCCCAGGAACACAATGTTAACAAACAAACCGAAAATCTGGGCAATGGTCAAGGATTAGAACGAGAAACAAGTGTAAAACCTGAAAGTTTGGTAGATGCAGCATATTGAATGGTTATACATTACTTATATTACATATATTTTAAATGTATATCAGAATATATATGTATTTTGCAAGGGTAAAAGCAAGCGTGACCGTTTTTGATATATATATAGGTACATGTATATGGCATTCAATGGGAAAACTAGTAAATATTCTATTTTTTACATTTCTATACTACAGTACTACAATAAAGATAGAAATGCAACAAAAAGGAAAGGAATCAGTAGCAGAACATATGAAGTGATCATGCTTGATCACATATGGATTATAATTAAAACAAGACAGTAAAACTCATTTGTCCTTCATAATAAAACATAAAATGGTGTACATGATATTTTTATAATAAAAAAATCTTGGATTAAGAATGATAATTATATCTGACACAAAGTAATTGGCACCCCTTGAACCCTCCAAACAAAACAATAATCAATTGGATTGGTATTGGAAGAGCTAACAAACATTTGTTTGATGTGTGAAGGATACAGTCATAAGAGCCGCTCCAAATAAAACCATGAAGAAAAAGTCAGCAGTTCGGTTACGAAAAGATCCTTCCTCCAGTAAACGGCAGTAGCGGTAAGCAAATATCATATTGAATAAGAAATTAAACCCAATCGGTCCAAAGTACATAAAATTCGTGACTAATCTCCATACCTGAAAAATAGAATTACAAATTGTGGTTCATTTAAATACAATTTATAAAGTTACAACATGTTATCAACCTACAGAGACACAAGGTAAGCATTTATGTTCATTATCATTTAAACAGACATTTTTCATATTCAATAATTATTTTTATTTTTTGCATTTCAAAAAAACACAAATTCTTTTTCTTTGAATGATATACAAATATAATTATATATCAAGAAACTGCAAGTCAGAAAAAATGTCAAAACTCTTCTTCACAGGAGATAGAACACAATGCTGGACCTCTCTACAAATCGGATGCATCAAGAGTGATCAGCTTATCAATAAACACATGAGTGGTAAGCCAAAATTTGAATTACTGTTGTTTTCGTAATTTTTGAAATAGTAAAAAAAAATCTAAAATTTCACCATGATTAACACATGGGGAAAAACATGATAACTAAAATTTTATGCATTTACAGTAGGAAAACTGAAGATCAAACTTAATGTGTCATTTAATTCATTCACCCCTAAAGACACATTTGAACTCTTCCGATTCAAAGGTTGGTATAGTTCATTATGAAATTTCAGGGTTGAATGAGTTTACAAATAAATCCTGGGCATTAGTGTCCATGTGGTCACTGTGGTTAGTACATGATTGTTCTTGGAACACTCTTTATCTCCATTATTTTACTGGACCAACATGTCCATCATTATTCTGATATATACTATAACAGGCACTCAAACTTACCTGATATTTTCTAAATATAAGCTCTGGATTGAAGTAAATTTGGAAAGGAGTTATCACATCTAGTTGCTGTAAAGAAAATAAGAATAATTATGTCATGGTGCCATAATGTTAAAGGCAGACAAAAGTTGAAAACATATCAATATTTTTGTTTTTGTCAACTTGATTATAGTTTTAGTTTAAACATATTTTATTTGATGTAATCATAAGGAATTGGACACAAGTTATACAACTTAGAAAACTTGATCATATCTGGAAATTACAATTTGTCAACAAACAACAAACTCCAGCCCAAAACAAGTAGTTGTTACTGGGGTAATACAACACCTTATATTAATAAACATAGTAGTATTCTGATTTATGTATAGAGTGGATACCCTGCATACCGATAGGTATCCATTTTCCAGCAAGCCTCACTACTTTAGGACCCTACCTACACTGGACTGGCGTTGATACCTTATATTAATACTATTGTCACAATGTAAACTATGGAACATAAGTTATATTATAGTTTACATGGCCTAAAGTTGACAGTATCACTATGATAGATGCATCGGGTATGTAAAAAAGCAGCCGAGAGGCCCTGTATAGCTCAACTAGATATTTCTGCATTCATGGTAAAATATTCTCATTGAAAGGGATATTGCAAGTAGGTCTCGAGGGGCAGGGCCAGACGCTAAACACAGTAGAATGATAGTATTTATCTTTCCATGCCCATCAAACACATTTATGGTTATATATGATGACAATGTCGACTATCAATATAATTTGATTTATGCTCAGCAATTGTATACACTATATATGGTACAGTGTAATAGGGTATGGATCGTGAATATCTCAACCATTTTCACATTAAGACCTGGGCCGACAAACCCAAGGTTTAGGTTCGTCTCTTTATGCCATTCAATTGTTTATATGCAATGATCTCCAAATAACATAATCTTCAACTTGTTGAAGGCGGTTATTATAATGTAGAAGTAGATAACTATTATTGTGATAAATGATAAGGTGTGGATTTGAACATTGCCATTTGGGGTTGGGGACAGCCCGCCCATGTTTGTACCTTAGTAGCAAACATCCTCTTTTAAAATTTGTTCTGCAAAGGTTTTTGAACGGTCGATATCAACATTTTTATAAATGCAGTGGCAAAGATGAAAAAATAAACTTTCCTCCATACATTTGTAGTAAGAGCAGACAAATGCACAGTGCCAGACTGGGGTTAGAACCAATGACCCTCCTAGATCTTGACGAAAGCGCTACAGATGGTTCAACTTCAGTGATATACTCCATAACTTCTTAATTCAAATATTATCATAAACACTGTTATGGATTTATACTATACTGTTACTTTATATGAGTTTGGTCTGTAGAGACTGGCCCTGGACCACCAGAACTCTTCTGAAAGTGGCAATTAATCTAAAATATACTTTCTAAAATTTGAATTAGAATGATTCAAAGTGTTGATTACTATTACTTTACGTTATACAGTATGAGAGTTTGGTTGGTAGGGACTTGCCATCCAGCCCTCTTGTGCAAGAAGCAAACAAATTTTGATAAAATTCAATTTGTTTAAAGGTATCATTTGTCTCAGATTTTAACTAATTCAAACGAGATATTTCAAATGTTTCTAAACTATAGAATTCTGTACTTCTTCTTTAGTGTGCTTAAATCACTTGAGCTATTGAATCTTGCTTGACAAGTGAACAAAGACAGGGAGCAAAGCATGGTTCAAGCCTTTCAAAACGGATAATACATTTCCTCTTTGGACAAATGTGTGGCTTAGTACAGGTCTAGTTTCAAGAGAGGTCACACAGTCATTATTCTTACAATGGCTACTGTTGTTAAAACACAAGCTGTTGTGTATGCCCGCGTAATTGGGGGCATCTGCATATATTCCTGTTGAAAAGTCTGGGCTGCCATCGTTCTGAAGTTCTGTATCCCCAACCTTACGTTGATCAATGGTTGTGATACGTGTATGTTGACAATTTACACAATCCACATGGCGCAGGCGCAGGTTTGCGGAAGTGAAAGTGGGTGAAACTAGAAAAGGGAGTGAAAGGAAAAAACTGAATGTGGCACATTGCACCTCTGTAATTTTAATTCAGCTTTTTTTTAGCACAGTTTATGCACAGTTTCATAATTATTTTCAGCGCATGCTCGAAAAAAGTTTAACTTCCTATCGCGGTAAAGTCGAAGCGGTGCAGTATCTAGTCTTGGTTTTCTGTTGTATTTTATTCATTTTTCACTAATTGTGTAGGGTTTTATAGTATCAGCGACGTGCATAAAGGGTATTGGCAAGTACATTGATCTCTATTTTGCAATGCCATGTTATTAATCTGCTTCTGCGGTAACAGGAGGCCCACTGGACACCCCCCCCCCTTGTTTATTGTACTGAAAACGACTAACAAACTCTCATAAAGTTTATTTTAGTTTAAACATATTTTATTATACAAATATACAGGGAATGAGGGGTTACCTAGAAAAGAAATCGTGTAAACTGTGAAAAGGATCCGCAATCAAATGAAGACGATGACTTAGGCATTACAANATATGGTTGAGTGATAGAGAGAGTGTGAATCATCATATGGGTAGGCAGTATATATACAGATGGGGGACACAGGAACGTGGATCGGTGTGAACAAAGATGATAATAACCAATATTGATCTGTATGGAGATTCGCATTGGAAAAGATTTATTCCAACCAAGTTTTAATTATTTCCTGCTAAATGTGGACAAATTGTACCAAAAAGTGTTCTTTCCTTTATACTTGTTTCAGCAATAGTAAACTTTACTCTCCCTAAGAGAAAAATAGAATAAAAATAACAATTCAGATAAAGCAGATAGGGGCCTTTTCATCCATGTGGAGAATAAGATTCTAGTGTACATCCTAGTGCAAGGAAAAAGACTTTTGAAGTTTGAGCAAATTTTCCATTTTTGGGCCCCACCCCTCCAGCTTCAGGAGGGAGGCAGGATCCTATTTTCTCATAACAACTACTGGTAATTGCCATCTCGTCATAATTTTCCAACTAAATTTGAATTATTTCCTGCTTAAAATTGACAAAATATACAAAAAAAGTGCTATTTTCCTGTATAAAGTCTAGTAAACTTTACCTCAGCTTCCCAAAGGGAGAACTGATGACCAGGAGTAAATAAATTTACAATTCAGATAAATCAACTTAAAGGACCTTTTCATTCATTAAGTACTTTTTATTCTGGTACATCGGAGTCGGAGGAAGAGGCGTTTTGAAATTTTAGTCAATTTTCCCCTTTTGAACCCTGTCCCTCCAGCCCAAGGGGCAAGGGAGGATCTTATTTCCTTATATCGCTGTCATCATTACTAATCAAACCAAGTTTGAATTATTTCCTGAAATTTACAATTTAGACAAAGCACCTAAGCATCTTTTCATTCACAAAAGAGTGTTGATTCTAGTACATCTGAACCTGGAGACGAAGATTTCTGAAGCATTGGTCACCTCAGGGAATGGGGCAGGAATGTCAAATTTACAATTTGATAACCTCTTCCACCAATGATGATTCTATGTAAGTTTGAAAGAAATGCATGAATTCACTGCTTCCTAAGAAGAATTTAAAAAACAATATAAGTTTGGAAGAAAAATGTTTAGGTCACTTGAGCCTTTGTTCCTGTATACTGTGTGGTTAATATTCCTCCATCAATACTTGAATATTTTACCATATAAAGAAATAAGAAAATCACTAAAACTGATGGATTGAGCTCCCCAAAAAAGTCATTTCAGACTGGAATAGAGGTTGCATGATACATATATCTTTACCTGAAATTTATCATGCCTGGCACTATTATTATCTCTGAGTTTATGTTCGTAACTGTAAAGTGGATGAACAACCAAAGAGGTATGCAACAAAGCTTGTCTTCCTTCTGCACATCACTTGCCTTTGGACCTTTGAACTTAATGAGACCTTGACTATACAGACCCCATAGTGGTACTACATAATATACTGCCTAACAATCTTGTATATATATATAACTTATATTGAGTTATCTTCATCAAATCAGAAGTGCCCTGAAAAAGAATTTGACCTATGACCTAAATGTGACCTTGACCTCCAGGCATAGGGACCAAATAGTGGTACGTAACATATATATTGCCTTACTATCCCACATACATGTATATCACTAAAATTTCATTGCTGAGACTCTTCAGCAAGTCAGAAGTTATGGCCCTTTTTATGGCTCGGGGAGCATAAAAAGAGACGAAATAGTCCCAAATAATCCTATAAAGTATCAATAGATAAAACAACAGACTTCTGATTAA